AGGAGTTATCCAGCTGCCCCGTGCCTGGGCACAATGTGGGACCCCCACAGCACAGGCTGGAGGGGCTGGGGGAAGATCCCACTGCTCCGCAAGTGCCCTGTATCTCTCTGGACTGTTATCCAACCCTCTTCCCTGGTCCCTTTGTGGTCCCCCCCCAAGTCCCCAGTATCCCTAATTTCCCCAGGCCCACTATGGCCCCATCACTGGACCTGTTTGATCTTCTTGGTGTTCCCAGACCCTTCCATGTCCCTTCTTGCGCTTCCCAGACCTGGCTGTCTTTATGTTCTCAGCCTTCCCATACCCCCCCCACCCCTTCATGTCCCCTGTTACCCACCCCACTTTCCCGTACACCCCCAGAGCCTCCCCTGTAACTCCAGTCCTGTCCCACCCCACTTCCCCAGAATGTCCTGGCTGTCGGCTGTGTCCCCAGTCCCCTGTGTCATTCCACTGCTGTTCCAAGGTCATCCAGTGCCCCCAGACTCTCCCAGTGCCCTTGGGTACCTGAGACCCCCCAGTGTCTCTTGCTGCCCCAAGACCCCCACCCCCTACCTCTTGGACCCCACAGTAACCTCTGTATCCCCAAAGTCCTCAAACCTCTGGTGCCACCTGTGACCCCCAGCCCCCTGCCCTGTGTCCCAAGCCTCTCCTGCAATCCCTATGCCCCAAGACTCTGGACACCATGTCTCCATGCCCTGTTGCCCAACAGGCCCCTCATACCTGCAGGGTCTCCGGGCACCATGTGTCCCTGCAGCTTGGGCACCTGGGTGCATGCTCAAGGTGACACCTACCAGGTGGTGGCCGACGTCAGCCAGTTTGAACCTCCTGACATCGTGGTGACCACCTCCAACTGCCATGTTGCCATTCAGGCTGAGAAGGTGAGGGACCCTGCAGGGTAACATCACCAACCCCCTCTGCCACAGAACACATGGAGATTCTGCTCCATGGCACCCCCTTCTGCAGGGAGGGGGAACTGGGAATGGCTCTTGCTGGCAGTGGGGCAACTGGGAATGGTCTCTACCAGTTCTGGGGAACTGGGAACTGACCCGTTGAACTCCCTCCTGGAACTGGGGCCAATGGAGCTGCCCCACCACTAGCACTGGGGTAACTGGACCTGTGCCACGTGCTGCCACCCATGCTGTGCCCCACCACGCTGGCGCTGCCTCCCTGCAGGTGGCCGAGGATGGCACCGTCTGTGACACCTTCACCCACAAGTGCCAGCTGCCCGAGGACATGGACCCGCTGTCGGTGAGCTGTGCCCTGACAGAGACCGGCACACTGGTCATCACTGCCCGGCGCCGCCCCGGTGCCCCTCCCGGCGAGCCCCCGCAGCCACGGTACCGCAGCGAGGCCACCTTGTGAGCTGGCACCAGGGTGCTTCTCCCCCCCCAAAGTGATGCCAGCCCCGGTGTCAGAGCCAGGGTCAGCTGGTTCCCACTGGCTGTGGCCACTCCAGCCCCTCAGCACTCTGTTTATAAAGTGCTTTTATTAAATTAATATAAAAATCTCTGTATTTACAGGAGGGTGGGGTGCACAGTGGGAAGGTGACAGGACCCCCCCTCCCAGCCATTAGGTGCTGGGGCGGGGGGGCAGTGCCCACTTGTGTCCCCCCTGACCTGATGCGCCCAAGTGCTACACCCAGCAGGGACATCAGGGTGCCTGTAGTGGGGGGATGGGTGAGGGTGGCAGCAGTGCTGGGAGGCACTGGGGGTGGGAGGCAGAGATACCCAAGTGGGAAGCCCCAAGAGATGGGGTGGAAACTGGGGGGACACAAGGCTGGGGG